AGTGAGACTCCAACTAAAAAAAAAAAAACCAAGAAAAAAAAAAAAGAAAACAACTCTAGCATCATCAATCCAACCTCATTTTGCCCCCTAGGAGTCTAACAGTCCTAGGTCTAAAACTACCTTGGCTATTGAAGACTTGTGCTGGGTGTGCTTTGGGTGGGAGTGTAGGCTTGATACAGATCTGAAGGAACAGGCCTCTTTGTTGATACTTAAACTTGGTACTCATTCACCTGGGGATTATGAAGGCCTGAATTAGTCCTTCTTGGTCGTGCTGGGTTTTTTTGAGTTGGAGTTTCACTCTGTCACCCAGGCTGGAGGGCAGTGGTACGCTTCCGACCACTGCAGCCTCGACTTGCTGGGCTCAGGTAATCCTTCCACCTCAGCCTTCCAGGTAGCTGGAACTACAGGCACGCACCACCATGCCTGGCTAATTTATTGATTTATTGTAGAGAAGAGGTCTTGCCAAGTTGCCCAGGCTGGTCTTGAACCCATGGACTCAGGCAGTCCTCTCACCTTGGCCTCCCATACTGGTTCTTGTAGCAACATAGTGCTTCCTCCCTGTGAAAGGAGGTGACCAATTAGCTTCAGGGTGTTTTCACCTGATGTGCTTTGTTCCATTTAGATTTTGCTGGATGGGAGCAGTAGAGGGTTAGGTTGTTACTATTCCTTCTTGTAAGAATAGCTTCTAAAAGACCCTGTTCTGCCTTGTTTACCACTCTTGTTGCTTTGTAAATATTTACAGAATCAGTAGCACTCCTATTGGGTCCAAGTATCATGCTGAGCTCTGGAGGGAGCTCAATTGGACCCAACTCCTATTCTCGGAACTGCTGACAGTCTAATGGGGAGACAAACCCAGCTGATAGACCAGACCGTCTAAGTGCTCTGATGGAGGTGTCCATGCCCTTAGGTAGGCCCTGACCACATTCCCTGGGGAGGGGAGAGTGAAGGAAGACTTCCTGGAGGATGTGACCACATAACAAGCCAGGCAGAGAATTGGGGGAAGATTTTTTTGTTTTTCTGTTTTTTGTTTTTGTTTTTTACCCAGGCTGGAGTACAGTGAGGCAATCATGGCTCCCTGCAGCCGCAAACTCCAGGGCTCAAGTGTTCCTCCTTTCTCAGCCTCCTTAGTATCTAGGAATATAGGCATGCTCCAACATGCCCAGCTAGAGGAATGATATTTCAGGCATAGCTAGCAGCAGGAGTGTACCCATTTTACAGTTGCAGAAGCTGCGGCTTAGATTCCAGAGCTCCTTCTGTGGCACCATGCAGACCCTCTTGGATGGACTGGATTGGATTTTTCCACGTCTGTGGGTGATCTTGGGGCTCTCTGGTGAAGGGAGGGTAGAGCTGATACTCTTTGGTCCTCTGTGTGGCAGGTCCCGTGTGGGTGCTAAGATGGCCAATGAGAATCATGGTAGCCCCCGGGAGGAAGCATCCCTGCTGAGTCACTCCCCGGGCACCTCCAATCAGAGCCAGCCCTGTTCTCCAAAGCCAGTCCGCCTGGTGCAGGACCTCCCAGGTACTGGTGGGGGCAGTGTGGGATGGCGGGGTAGGAAGGGCACCCTAGGAGCAGCCTTGACCCTGACTGGTTTCCATGCCTGTTTGCAGAGGAGCTGGTGCATGCGGGCTGGGAGAAGTGCTGGAGCCGGAGGGAGAATCGTCCCTACTACTTCAACCGCTTCACCAACCAGTCCCTGTGGGAGATGCCCGTGCTGGGCCAGCATGACGTGATTGTGAGTGCCAGCCTAGGGTGGGGGCCTCCCCCAAATGTCCCACGAGCAGCAGTTGTGTGCCTGGCCCTGTGCTAGCCCCTGCCCTCATGGACCCTATACTCAAAGTAGGGGAGTTGGATTGGTGAAGAGATGCTTGGAATAATGTAGCACGTTGCCCTCCTGCTGCATGTTGGGCGCTGTGCAGGGATGACGGTGTGGGCAGGATGGATGTGCTTGCTGCCGTCACAGAGTGCCCACTGGAGGGGGACAGTGGGATTACAGTTGTGGACTTGTATGAAGAGAGCACCAGGATCCTGAACCCATCTGGGGAAGCTGGGGGGGGGG